CCCCCAAGTCCTTCTGGGCAGGGCTGCTCTCCATCCCTTCATCCCCCAGCCTGTATTGATAGCGGGGGTTGCCCCGACCCAGGGGCAGGACCTTGCACTTGGCCTTGTTAAACCTCATGAGGTTCACACAGGCCCACTTCTCCAGCTTGTCCAGGTCCCTCTGGATGGCATCCCATCCCTCAGGTGTGTCAGCTCTTCAGATTACAATGAACAAATGAAATTATTTTCTTTGTGGCTTTCCATGTGCTCTTGTTATTTTGCTGAGGCTGTGGTTAACTTAGGACCCAGACAACACAGATTACAGATAGAGGTGGTATCTTTTTATTAAGCCAGCCACTGTAGTTGGAAAAAGTAGTAAAGCTTTTAGGCACACTGAAGAAGGGCTGTAGTGCCTGAAGGCTTTTCTGATTTATTTATGTTTATATATGCATTGTTTACCAGGAGATATTACCTCTGCTTGCAAATGTCAGGCCCTTAGTAGGGCCTGTTGTGACAGGACAAGGGGGAATGGCTTTAAACTAAAAGGGGGTAGATTTAGGCTAGATATAAGGAAGAACTTTTTTACACTGAGGGTGGTGAAACACTGGCCCAGGTTGCCCAGAGAGGTGGTGGATGCCCCATCCCTGGAAACATTCCAGGTCAGGCTGGACGGGGCTCTGAGCAACCTGATCTAGTGGAAGATGTCCCTGCCCACGGCAGGGGGGTTGGACTAGATGACCTTCAGAGGTCCCTTCCAACCCAAACTATTCTATGATTCTAAATTTTTTTTTTTTTTTTAAATAAGGTACCATATATTTTACCATAACTTTCATATAGGATAATTATTTCTGGAGCAGTCTTTCCTTCATAAGCCTTGGATTTCTAACTACTACAGTTTGCAACAACAAACCATACTTCTCATACTTACTTTTAGCCAAACAATCCCACTGTTCAAGCATCACAGACAGTGCTTGTCAGGGCACTGTATTCATCTCACAGAAGAAGAATCACTAATGGGCTAATCAGAATACCTGCATCGATTTCTCAGTTTGTGTACCTGCAAGGAAAACTGGCATTTTCACTTTTAGCCTAGTTCAGTAATTTATAGATGTCAGATACTGAGAACTGTGTTTACTCTTTGTTCAAGTAAAAAATTCCTCTTAACATGATCGGTAGGTTTGCATGAATAAATTCCACAAAAGAAACGTTTGCTTGACGGAGTTCAGAGAACTGACCCAACCCATCACACCCCCTTAAGCCTCACCTACCCCTCCTGCACCCCCGCGCCCTCAGCATGGTGCCGGTTTAGCCACTGGCGGAGATGGCTAAACCTGCTGGCCCGGCAGAAAACCACTTAGCCCGGATGTCTCAGATGCAGCTGGGGGAGGGGGGAAGCCCCCACCGGTCAGATCCGCTGTGGGACCGGCTCTCCCACAGCAGTGCCAGGGAAGGGCAGTCTCCCCACACAAAACGAGAGGCTCAAGTACCTCTGCAGCGGTATTATTTCCATTCCCCATCCTCTGCTTCCTCCAGCAAACTTCGAAAGCAGCTGCCAAGCCAAGTGGGCAGAGCGATGGGACACCTGGGAATCGGTGAGCGCTGGCTCTCGCAGCCCATGATTTGTACGATCAGCAGGGGAACAACGTGAATTACTTTTCCTAATCTCATCAGAAAGAGCAGGTGCAAACTTCAGACCTGATTTCATTCCAAAATTAAGCATGAAATTAGGAACTGTACAATGGAATTGAAAAGGGTTTCAACAGTGAAAGGCTGGTTTTAAACTTTTTTTTCCTACAGACTAGACATTTTTCCCTGCCTGGTGCGATCTCCTATCCTGCAAAGACTGCCCTCACCACTGTATGTGCTCCATACAGGGTACGTTCATAAGCTTCTGCATCCTGACTTTGTAACACTTCTTACACTGAAGCTGTCCTTTATTTCATGTGCAGCACCAAATGAAGTCAAGGGGATGCTGCAGAACAAGGTACTACATGCAGAAGGAAAACGTACAGCATCCGGCTGTAATTGTCCAGTTAATATAGTCTAATTAAGGTTTACGGTGCAGCTACATCAGGCCGAGGCTCAAGCTGCAGTTCAAACTACTACAGTCATACTTTCCATCTGTCTTTCTTGAGAAGATGGCTCCATGATAGGATAAATATAACTTGTTTGTTCTGTTCAAGCTACTTGTGAAAGCAGCTTACAGAGCCTGAATGCCTCGCAGAGTCATCATGAAAATTTTCAAGCCAAAGCACAAAACATATTTCTCTGTTCTTTGCCTGGCTGATTAATGATGGGAAAACAGATGGTATTTGCTCTTTTGTCAAATTAAACTAAATCCCCAAAACTACCACCAACAAAACACTCCTCCTGAATGATTTGGAGGGTTGATCTTAACACCGCACTCATTAACACGTCTCTCCAGGAAGCTCTAATTATCCAGCCAGTGACTTTTTGGTCTCTTGCCCACAACTACTCATTCCTTCTCTCTTCACTGTCCCTCAAATGTCCTCTCAGCCTCGCTGCCTTAACCTAACCACTCCTCCTCCCCCTCCTTATCCTGCTATTAGTCTCTAATTGCAAACAGCCGCGTCCCAGCCGTCCTCCACCCCCACCAGCGGTTCCCTGGATGGCTCTCGGTCCCCCACCCTGCGTCAGCCTCCTTGCTCCCGAAAGTGCCTTTTGCTGCCTTTTCCCTTTTTTCCCACTGAAGTCCCCTTCCCCCATGAGTACCAACACCTCCTCTCCTCGCCTGCCCTAACACTCCTCACTTCTCACCCAGCTCCGGCGCCTGCCGTCCCCGCTCTCCCATCACATCCAAGATCCCCCCATGTTCCCCCTACATCCCTCCCTTCCAATCTCCTGACTGGCTCCCTTTCAGGATAACCCCCGCATTTTCCATGTCTTCACATGACAGGCCGGTATAACCGGAGACCTCGAAAGGGCTGGCAGGAGAAGAGACTCAGAGATGTCCGACTCTGGGACATTAAATGGTGACAGTATTTTCAAACCAGGTGCATATTCTAGCTCTTCAAAGCTCAGACAAATAAAATGGAAGAGTGCACATATGTTTTTAAAGGTAGCAACTTTAACATGCTGTAAGTTTTGTTCTTTGCTGTCGAAAAAGAAAAAAAAAAGGAGAAAAAAAAAAAAAGAAAATCTAACAGCCAGCCAACTCTCTCTCCTTTGTTCACAGCCACCAGAGTTTATAATTCCCTGTTCCTTCGGTGAGCATCAACAAGAAAATTGAGGGGAAAGCAAACTAACTGACAAACTTTAGATATTACATTAATGTGATCTCCCTGAGAATAAGAACATGTTTGAAGTAAAAGCAAAAACACCTTAAAAGCTTGCAGATAGTTAGTATGCTCAAGAAGTACTGAAGAAAAGAGACTTATCTAAGCCTGGACATGCAGTTCCACTGATTTCATATAATTAACAGTAAACATATGATTAAACACTTTGCTGGATTTTAGCCAGAAAATTCAATTCTGCAAAAGCCTGAGCACTCTTCCACTAATATGAACGTGTTCATGAAACTTTCAAGTAAAACTCCGTATTACTTGCATTCTACTAAATGTCATACAGGTAACAGCATATCACTCATAATTGGTACTTTCTTAGACTGAACTGCATCTTTATTAATTTAAATTGTCAATTTCTATTAATGCAGTACTTTAAAAAAAAAAAAGCAGTAAAAATACTATCTAAGCAATCACATGAGCCAATGCAGGTATATCTGAAGACCGTACAACACTTTTCTTTTATATGATCCGTGTCTTTCAATAGGACAAGACATCAATGCTCAAGTTTCATCGCCGGCGCAGGCAGTTGGATGAGGAGGGAGGGAAGGGAAGCAATTCTCCGTCCCCCTCTGCAGCACCCAAAGGGATGTGTGCTCCGGGCCCCTCGGACTATCAGCTGTATCACCTCCCCACCTGCCTTACCTTCCTGCCATCTACCCTGCGGCTGCAAGGGGAGTGAGGAAGAGAAGGTTACGTATTCCTTTAAAAAACAAACAAACAAGCAAACAAAACCCCCACAGAACTGGTGGGTAAATAACAGCATTTCCTAGCAGATGATTAAGATGTGATTCATCTGACAGAAGGCAGGCATTTGCATCTGATCTCCTCGGCACTGGCTGGCTGAGTGGTCAGCGAGAGGAGGAGGAGGAGGAGGAGGAGGAGGAGGAGAAAAGCATTTCTGTGCTGCCGTTCTGCTAAGATACAAAACTGAAACAGGTCAGCTCAACAGCACCTTGAAGGTGCCACTTCTCCCTGTCAGCCACAAAAAGCAATGTAAGGAGGTGCGATCAGAGGCAGACATCTAAGTTTAAATGCGGTGAAATAAACTGATTGTGTGCTTTGCTTTTTTTCATTGTGATTGATCAGGCACAGAAGTTTTCCTCTGACACTTCCCTTCACTCACTACTTTTAAACGCATTTATGTGAACAGTGCTGTGCACACAGACCTACTTATCCTTCACGTACGTTAAAAGCAAGACAACCCACTGCATGCACGAGAGAAACTTACAGACCAGGCAACTTCACACTGAACCTGATTACGACCGAACTTCGCAAACAGCCAACAAGTCACCCAAAAATGCACCCCAAGGAACTGCAGCCATGCAACTGCAGCCATGCAAGAGGATGCTAAGCATTCGCCCAGTATCTCTCTACTCCGGACCCCGCGGGCTGGGCAGGAGAACCCACCGTGTCCCAGAGCCCAGCCTGCCCCTCACACAGCACTGCTCGGAGGGAAACTTTCCCAGAGGGGTTATCGGGGCAAATCCGATATTATACAGTGGATGCACATACAGAAACCTAACTTTTGGCTCTAAACTGAAAGCACATTTTTTCAAAGGAATGTATAAAAATGTGTTTACAATAAATAAACACAAAGAAACAAGAGACACTATATTATGTATCAGGTTTTTACACCCAACAGCTTCTTTCTTTATCCAACAGAAACAGGAAGAACAAGCTATACGTGACAAATGCTTGTCACATTATGTGATGAACTACCAAAAGGAGTTCAATGAGGAGGAGGAAAATAAATACTTCTATGGAATCACAGTAGTCATACACAAATGGGCATAAAGAAGGTCACTAAAATATTTTGTACTTCTCTTTGTGGCACTTAAGAAATATCCAGAGATTGCCCACATATCTACAAAGTTAAAAATTTCCATGTCATTTATACCAAAGGCATTATAAGTATAAACTGTTAAGTATATAAACATAACCTTTACACCTGACTATTTACCTTAAACTATGTAACGTGTTTTATAAGCAGTAATATACTACATACCCTCCTAAAGATTAAAACAATTCTAGCAAAATAGGATTTCTAAAATAGCAAATATTATGAAGCACTCTGCAGTAAGTAAGTCTTTTTGAAATGCAAGTGCAAAAAAAAAAATCATTGGCACAAGATCAGTCACATTTCTGACAATGCAGAGCTTCTTATATAACATTAACACTAGAATTTAATCTGGAGACAATCTTTATGGCCACAGTACATTTTTTTTTCATGACAACGGTTCTTCATTGGTGCATTCACCAGGATTCCGCTTTCTGGCCACCACTTGCTCTGCTGCTTGAGTTGCTTTGTTTTTCCATAGCTAAATCACCACTGTTTTTGTACTTATCAGCAAAATAGTCGGAGTCAAAGCTTACAGACAAATCTGGAGGACTCACATAAACGTTCCCATTGTCTATTGTGACTTTATGAATCCTTTGTTTGACTCCTTTTGATTGCCACTGTGGTGTTGGTGATGGCTCCAAAGGGTTTATTCCTTCATATAATCCTTCTCCTGTTTCCAAAGTAATTTTAAACTTATGCCAAGGACAAATAATACATGCTTGACCATTGATATCCTGCAAAGAAAAATTAAAAATAGCAAGTCATCAGCTTCTCATTCTTCTCCTGGAAGAATCTCTAGGCCAAAAGACATGCCTGGTGATTTGGCTGTATAGCTATATGCTATTTTAGATATATATACATTTCTTTTGATGTTACGTTTGGATAAAAGTATTCAAAAAAATGCATTAGAGATTTCAAATGACTGTATGCCCCTAGGGTATTTTTATTTTGCTTACATACCTCTATTTCTCCAAGACATAAAGGGCCTCCTTCATCTGAAACACGGTAAAACACAGTATTAATTAATGCAGCAGATTTTATGCTTAGTTGTTGCAACATTGAGATCATATGCGCAAATATCTTACGGTAGCAGCGAGAGTCCATCGCATGAAATTTCCCTTCATGGTAGAAAACAACAATTTCTCTGCCGTTGACTTTGGCTGTTATTCTTTGTGACCTCTTTATGTCATCTTCTTTGCCAATTAATATAAGACCATCCGGCTGCATTTCAGCTGTTCCTGTGCTTGAGCTGTGCAAATCCACATCCTTAAAACACAAAAAATGCAAAAAGCCACTTATGAAACAGTTTTTATTTGAATTTCTACATGTAGAACGGGTGTCTCGGTCCCGGAGAAAACCCCAACACATTTAACACATGCAGGGAAAGGAGCAGAAGTTTTAGTAAAAGACTATCAACATGCACGTGAACCAAAGCACATGAGGTTGGTGATAATGTTTGGCCAACGTGTTCACTAACAGAACTGGGACTAGGAAAACCAGCTGTTGCAGACCTGGCACCTGAGGCTGGGGCAAGATAAATTCTAAATCACTATTCATTTACTCTGCACTTTAATCACCATATCCCCGGGGAAGGCTACACGCAAAAAAAATACAAGGGTGCTACATGTAAAATACTATACTATTTAGCTATGCAATGGGTAGACAGTAGCATTTACATATAAATCCAATACTCTTCAAATAATATTATGGCTAGAAATACAAACCGATATAAGTTGATAAAAACCTGAAAATATCATCTGCAAAAGGGAAAAAAAAATTGTTTATTGAGAAGTCGTATTCAACCTGGGCTTTTTAGCAAATGTGTCTGCCTTTCCCTTCCTCCTCTTACATATTTCAAATGTCTCATAGCCTCTCCCTCTCCCAGCAGAGGACATAAGTAGTTTTATCACAAAACCTGCCTTCCTATTAAATCTGCTTACGATTAGCTACTGTGTTCCCGTTCCCTCCGAATTCCCAGTACAATCATACTACCCTCGCTTCCTCCGAAAGATCAGGCTAAAAAAGGTCTTTGTACACACTGAGACCAAAGGGGAACCGTGGGTGGCGGGGATCCCGCTGCAGAGGGGTGCGGAGCCACGAAGAGCAGCATGGCAGCAAGCCACACCATACCTTAGCTCCACGCCAGATCGCAACGGAGATGAGAAAGCAGATGAAGAAATGGAGGCTCAGAATAATGAGGTCCAGCATTGCCTCTCTTCACTGTGCCTATCGCAACTGTCCTGCCTTGTTCACGTACGTGACAGCGTGTGTCGCAGCCCCTCTTTCCGTGCAAACGGGAGGCAGTGGGGCCGGCCCCTGTAGCTCTTGAGGCAGGTCGTATGGAGGCTCGGCGCGGCAGGAGCCAGCTCTGCCAGGACTGATAAGGAGCAGGGACGCGCTGGGGCTGGCCTGATAACAGCAGAAGAGAGCTCCGGGTTCCTCCTGCTGCCTTGCTCCCCGTGACCCCGTGCCACCACTGCCTCCTCCAAGCGGGATGCGCCAAACCAAAACCCTGCTCAGAGCCACACGTTACCTTACATGTTTATTCGGGATCAGCAGCTGCGTGTTTCCTAATAAACTGTTACACCGGGAAGACCGGTGTAAATAATAGTGTGGCATTTTCAAGGCCGGCTGTTACCTGATTTGCACATGATCAACCACGAGGACCGACTCTCTGCTTTCCAGTTTACAGGAACTTCCACCCAGTCTTACCCAGAAAGTGAAACGTCACTGTCAGACTCGCAGGACCATCCAATAAGGCATTCACGCTTATTTTCTTTAGAAAATAAAGAAACTAATTTTCTTTAGAAAATAAGCATAGCATGTAGCAAGCTAACTGCAAGAACTGGAGTAGGAATTCCCCGATTTTTTACTATTACCATTTGGCTGACTCTGCCTATAAGCTTCCCAAATTGCCCAAAATCTTAAAATGCAGAAGCTTGTAGTTAGAAACACTCTTATGAAGACACGTCTAAAAAATTGTATATCTCTATACATACACAAATAGAGATACACACACACACACACACACATATACATATGTCCAGACCAGTATTAAAATAACACTTGGCACCAAACCTCCAGTTCATTTAATGACAACATTTCTACAGTCAGCCTGGATTTTGTACACATAAATTGCCCAGGCACCCCAGTCTGAAACCTGGCTCAGACTGTCAGCACGTGGTGGACCCTACATGGCCCAACTGGCGTAAGCAATCAATAGCAAACAGCTTCATTTCACAGTCAAGACTTCCAGGCTTATCTACAACCAACTGCAGATTAAGAACTGCCTTGGTACATCGGAGGTCCTCCAGAAGAAAGCCCTCAAGGCATCGTACGCTTGTTAATACGCTAATGAGTTTGTTAAATGCACGGTGGCAGAAGACAATGTTCCCTTAGAAAAAGAGTGCAGCTAAGGACTCCTCATCACGGAAGACCTGTAACTAGACCCTCTTACCGCAGGCCTACTGTTGGCCACTTTCTCATCCATGAAGTGGACATGTACCTGCAAAGTATGAGCAGAAAATGAGAGATTTCAACCTAGAGCAGCCCAGGAGGCACCGGAAAGCCCCAAAGGAGGCAGCAGTTTCTTGCCTAGATGAATTCCCTGAGTTTGGGACAGGACCCAGCGTAAGTGAAGGTCAACAGACCTCTGAGGTGGTTTTCACCCAACATGACCTTCTCCTCTTCCACCTCAGCCCCCAGCTTGGTGCCACCCGGACAATGCTGCCTCCACGGCTGGAACCAGACGAATGAGGAGCTGCTTTCTCCTCCCTCTCTTTAAACAGCACAGCCACAGGCATTAAGCCCGGATCAGGTGACGGCTGAGCTGGTGAGTGTCACCAGCCTATCAAAAGCACATTAAAACGGCAATTTGTCCGCCTGCCCTCTCGCAGCCCCTTGAGAAACACACTCTCCATCACACTCTACCTAAGGTGAAATAATAACCAGTTCTGCTTGCTCCTGTTTTTTTCCAGGCCGATGTCCGCATGAAAACCACCCATTCAAACAAGACGCGGAGTACAACGGCCCACGAACAACCCCCCCCGGGTCCCACGACAGAATCCTGAGCTACCAACCAGCTACCAGAGCGGCGCCTACCAACGGAAGCAAAAACATTTCAGTCGAAAAGAAAAAAAGGTCATTCCCACACACGCACACTTTTAAGTTGATTTTCTACTAGATTTGTCCTGATGTTTTCTTAAGAGTTCGGCTGCTTTGACGTTGTCTGAGTCACTGCACTCCGCGCTGGATGGAGGCGTCCCCGCCGCCAAGTGCCATCTGGTGGGAACAACAGGGTTTGGGAGCAGCGAAAGGATTCGTTTTCCGGCTAGAAATACAGCTGGGATTTACGAGCCGTAGCAATTCATTGCTGTACCCTGCTCTACCTCCTCTTCCTCTTTTGGGGAAAGGGGGAGGAAAAAAAAAAATCACTGCCGCGCGGGGCGTGGGCCCG